CTTCAAGTTTGGTTTCCAGAGAGCTATCATTCCCCTTCTGTTCTGCCATGATACTGTAGTTCTTCATGGTGGTTAAAGAATTGATCCTCTGCTGGCCCATTTATGGTAGTAACCACCTTTCTTATTTGGGTAAGGCTTTGGTTACTTTGGTTCTGAGCTGCTTCTGGTTGTATATGAGAGCCTGCACTTTCCACCCTCCACTGCCTCTGCAAGAGATGTTGTCAGTATCCTCCTTTTGCTGCTCATGCCTCTCAGATTGCTGGTGCCTTGCTGCTTTCAATATCCCTGCAGTCTCAGGTGTGCTGCCAGGGCCACCAAGCTGTGAGTACTTCTGCTGCTTCTGGGATCACCTAGATCTCTTGTTCCCCTATTTTCTGTCCACAGGCTTGGGTGCTGCCACCCCATGAACCACCTGCACTGCTGCTCCTGGGTTATCTGGGGGTATTGGCAGCATCGCTGCTAGGGGCCCTGGGTTCACAGGTGTCACCATTGCTGTCAGGGGCCCAGGTTCTTGTATGCAGCCCTCACTGCTGATAGAGCCAGTGTCAGGGGTGCCGCGACTGGGGGCTGGCTCTCAGGTTCTATTGTGGCTCCTGTCACAGGTGCCACCTGCCACTCACAGAAAGTTATTTAACTGCTCATCCCGAGGGCCATGAATTCACGTGCCCTCAGAGGCCTGACAGGTTATGTAAATAGTGAGGCACCAGGCTGGGAAGGTGGTGAAATGGAAAGAATATTTCCATAGACCCAAAAATGCCAGATATTATGATTAATTTAGAGAAGCTGAAGCCATTGTTTATATAACTCTCAATTTTTTAACATGGTGACTTAAAGTTGAGGAACACTATGGACCAGCCAGAACCTTTCTACAGGCACATTCAGCCATGGGCCACCAACATCAAGACTTAGCACAGTGCATGGCACTTAGCAAGCCTGAGATAAATGCTGCTGCTGCTGTGATTACTGTTGTTTCTGAGAGCAAGAGTGGCTTGAGTAGGACAGAGGGAGTGAGAGTTGGAGAGTACGGGGTTCATTTGCATTACAAATTTGTCATTCCCTTTCTATCCTCTCCCCCTCAAGTACTGAGGGTATGGGGATATGGCTGCAGCCTCGAAAAGCTTCACTGGGCAACTGGAGGGAGTCCATTTCCCAGCTGAGCACTGTGCAGATGGGGCTGAGGTGGGGGGGATGCCGAGGCCTCCAAGAGTTCTCAGGCCAATGGGAAGACAAAGCCTTTCCAGGGGAGGGGAAGGGGTTTGGGGCTGGAAGCTCTATAAGTCCGCATTCCTGGGTCCCTGCCTTCCAAGCTTCTTCCCAGTGTTGAGCTCTTGCCATCTCCTTCCCAAAGCTGGAAATGTATGGAGTGTCCTCCTGGTACAGATCCACCAGGAGTCCCTGAGAGGCCCACCCAGGTCAGGTCCTTTCTGCACTTTGCCCCACCATCTGCATCCTGTGTCTCCTCTCAACTCTCAACCACTTCCTGCCGAGGAGTCAGTCAACAACAGCTTTGGGGCTGTTGTTTCAAAGAAGATGACGTCAGAAGCTCCCAAGACATGAAACAGAATCTGGCTGCCCTATTTGAGAGGCAGGTGCCAGGCAGCAGAAAGACCCACCCAAACCTGGAGTCCTGAATTCTGGTTCACATCCCAGCCCGAAGCCCCACAGCTATTACTAGTTATGGAGGAAGTCGTTTAACTTCTTGTCCTCATGACACAGGATTTCTGTGAGGATTCCAGAAAAACAAAGACTAGCATAGTAAAACACCTACTGTGTGCCAGGTTCTTGCTAGATTTCACATACGTTATCTCCTTTGTTCCTATGAATGACCCAATGAGGTAGGTAGTATGAACCTAAGAAGCAAGTTTGCCTGTTATTTTACTTCAAAATGAGTTTATTTGCGGATAGCCAAAAGAATTGGAATCCAGGATGTGCATGCTGTGGAAAACCATAGGCAAATCCAGCAAACAAAGGAGGGGAGCTGCTTTTATAGAGAAAAGGGAGGAGTAGGGAAGGGCTGTTCTAAACCAAAGTCCATTGGGGGAAAATAACAGTTCAGGGCAGCAAACGGCTTCTGATTGGCTGAGCTGCAGCATTTCTCATTGGCTGGACTATTGCTGGGTTGGGAGAGAAGTCTTCCTTCAGCAGTAAAGTAGTTTTACTTCATGTCCAAGATGGAAGCCTCCCTCTCTTCCTGTTTGGTGTAATTGACCATGTGTGATAGGGCTGTGAGCTCCCCCTACAGGCCTTCCTGAGTCCAATTTAATTAAGATTTATTTTATAAATTTCTACAGTAGCATATTATATGATAATATATTTTAAAAAATAGGCGTGATTTGAGTGCTTATTATACTCCAGGTGCTGTTTTAAGCCCTTGTGTTAACAAATATAATTCTCACAACAACCCACAAGGTATGCACAGTACTCTTGTTATCCCCACATTACAGATGAGGAAACCAAGGCACAGAGACAGTAAGTGACTTGCCCAAGGTCACAGAACTAGAAAGTAGCAGAGCAGAGTTGAACCCCGGCAGCCTCACTCTAACCCCTATGCTTTGTGAAACACTTAAGACAATACCTGACACGAAGTGAGCACTCAACAAATGTTAGCTATTACTATTGTAATTATTCACATTTTGAGGAGGGGAAACTGAGGGTCAGGCAAGGCAATTTGCTCCCCCGTGGTCCTCCAGCCAGCAGGTGGCAACGTGGGGATTCAGTCTCAGGTCCTCTCAGGTGTGCCTAAGACTCCATCAGGGGTTTCCACCCCCCCGAGCTGGTAGGTGTCCAAGTGCTTGTTTCTGGGGGGGAATCTGCCAAATCTTCCAGCTGCTCTCCCACCTCCATCCTCCTCTCAGGGCCCAGCAGCCACAGCCAAGAGGAGTCAGGGAGCCATGGCCTGGGCGCTCCGGAAGCTGAGACCCTTCTCGGCCCCTCTGCAGTTTCGCACTGAGCCTGTGGGAGGAGGCTGCCCATGTTTCAGTGATGCTCAGGGCTTCCTTTGGAGACAAAACTCTGCCCTGGATTTCGTCCTGGGGACGGAAGAAGCTGATCTTGGCCCCCTCCCTCTTCTACCCCCAGCCATTCTTCGAGGTTAGTCAGAGCCTAGTGGCCTCATCCCTCAGGGGTGGAGTGCACAGATGCATTCCTATCCAGGAGACTAAGGGGTGCATGCCAGGGGCAGATGACAGAGCCCACTGTGGGAGGGCACATCCATGCTTTGGCTCTCAACCCTTAATGCTGGTCCCAGTGATCCCACACCTAGAAACCCAGATTTGATTAATCAAAAGCCCTTCTAAAGACTCCAATATGCAGCCGGGGTTGAGAATCAGAAACAACCCCTGTTACAGATGGCGAAACTGAGGCCCATGGCTGGGAAGTTCCTTGTGGAAGGTCACAGTGGGCTGGTGACAAGTGGGGCCCCTTGTCCTGTTCTTTTTTTCCTACCACATGGGTCCAGTCTTTGTGTCCTCCAAGAGGGGGAAGGGCGGCCTGGGTCCGCAGGTTGCACAGACCTGAACCACTCGCTCATCCTGTGGCAGCCACCCACATATAAAGTGCAGAAAGATGGGCACGGATGTTAGCTCGGGGAGAATCTTCCTCAGCAACAAAAATAGAAACAAGGAACCCGAGTCATCCTGCACAGGCCTCAGGATTCTTGTTTCTCCAGCACCAGTCACAGTTTTCTTAAACTTTTCTTGATCTGAAACACAGTCTGTGGAATTATATGTGCATGCTCTCTAAGGCAAGTTACAGTCCTAAAAAAAAGTTTTGTTGAGACCAAGGATTGTCCAGAAGTAGCACAACAATTTTACGAGCTTATCACGAAAAACAAAGTATGCTTTTATTAACTCTATATATTTTTCACATTGTAGTGGAATCCAGTTCACAGAGGTCAGTCCAGAGGGCAGGAGCCTGCAACTGGTCCGGTGTATTTTTACACTTCCCAGCAACACGCTTCTGGTGGGCGTTAATCTTTATAGTGATGGAGACAAGTTTTTTTTTCATAGAAAAGTTTTTCTCACAATTACAAAGAAGAATAGATGTATTAGTTAGTGAACTTGTTAATTAAGCAAACAACTTTTTATTGAGCACCACAATAAGGCAGGCATTGAATAGTTCCAGCCTGGTCTTTACTGTGCTGTGGGCATTAGGGACCCATCAGCTTTGCATGTTTGGGAAGGTACAGCCCAGGGGAGGGTGACATCCTTAATCCTCAAGCCAGAGTGATAGGGGCTGTGGTGACCACCATGGAGGATGGCCAGAGGGAGTGGCCATTCAGTAGGGTCACTAGTGGCAGAGGCTGGGAGAGGATGCACAAGAACACGGGAACCCGACACGGCTGAGACCACACCCAAGGCATGCTGGGAAGTAGTAGAGGGATATTCTGAGGTGGCAAACTTTTTTATAAGACTTTACTTTTTTTAGAGCAGTTTTGGATTCACAGAAAAATTAAGAGAAATGTACAGAGATGTCCCATAAACCTCCTACCTCCCCCTATGCATAGCCTCCCCCATTGCCAACATCCCTCACCAGGGTGCATTTTTATTGCAATCGATGAACCGACAGTGACACATCATAATCACCCAAAGTCCATAGTTGACATTAGGGTTCACTCTGGGTGTTGGTCACTCTATGGGTTTGGACAGATGTATAATGACGTGTATTCCTCACTTTGTATCAAATAGAGTAGTTTCACTGCCCTAAACTAAGGTGGCTGATTTTCAGCATTCAACCCAGGGGCAGCTTGAGCCGTGGCAATGTGGTAATGGCAAGATAGTATAATTCCATCTGGGAGACACAGATGGGTGAGGACTACACTTTTGAGTTAAAAAAGAAAAATACTTTCTAAAAGGGAGGGCTGACAGAAGGAGGTCATTGAAAAGATGCTGGGAGATGTTTCTGTGTTGTCAGGGGGTTCAAACACTGGATGATGGGACTAGACTGGGAGGTAAATAAGTTTCTGTCTTCTTCTTTTTTTTTTTGTTTTCCACCCTGAGAGTGAAATGAATGCTGTCTAATTACAACAGTGGTCAATCTACATGGAATGACGTAGACAATCCACTGATTACCTGCCACGTACTGGACATCGTGCAGGGGTTTCTACACATCATCTTATTTGATCCTCGCGACATCACAAAGAAGTGGCTCATGTCCCCCATCTCAGAGAAGAAGGAACTGAGGCTCTGAGAGTCAAGAACTTCTCCCAAGGTCGCACAGTAGAAATGGCTGGGAGTACCCACAGGTGCTGAGTTAATGTTACTTTCTTCCTTTCTGTTTCAGAAGTCTACAAAAACACAGTGAAAGTCCTTTCTGAAGAGACGGATAGATAGATTTATTGATTCCTCAGTGGGGGTACAATTAGCCCATCCTTCAGCCAATGAGAGAGGAAAAGCGAGAGAGGGAAATACATGTTGCCCAAGTGTGAGCGTCAGGCAGACAGAGGAGCTGTGGGAGGCCTTCTCCTCTGGCCTCCACAGCTGCTTCTAACGCAAGAATCGGTGGCTCCTCAGGCTGTCACTGGTTTTGGGATCGTTTCTTCAAAAGAGAGTATCCCGTGAAACCCAGAATTCCGAGCACCAGGGTCACCTCTCCTGCAATCATGGCGTGTTCCACCTGAAAGTGAGCAGCCCACGTTCAGAGTCCACAGCAAGTTCCGACAATTCTCTCTCCCTCCTAAGGGCCTGGAGGCTACGCACCTTCTCCTGCCCTTTCTGGGGCCTGGCCTCTCAGCTTCCCTCTGAGCTGGCCAGCCCAGAGTCCTCTCCCAGGGAGGATGCTGGCTGTGTCCCAGAGGCCCCATTTCCTGGGAAATGGGAATTTGTGACCACTTCCTAGTGGTGGGCTTGTCTGGGCTTGTTCTGACCACTGGCAGGACAGGCTGATGGAATTCTTTTGTGTGAGCTTTCTGGGTGAGGACATTTGTTCCTGACTCAGGGTGGGTAGGGAGGAGGGTTTGTGCCTGGTTTCCTGGGGCCAGTGCTCCGGGGGTGAGACTGCGGCCTGCTTTGTGGTCTGGGTTGTCCCTGGGCTGTTCCCCTGCGGAGTGAGGGGCTGTGGCAGAAGCTGAGGGGAGATTTCGGGAAACCATGGCCACGGGCAGTGCACTTTCTGTTCACTGTGCACTCTGTACTGTTCGCAAGTGCAGCCTGGAAATTTCTATCTCGAGCCCCACCTCAGCCCTGAACTCCAGACTCGTATGTCCAACTGCTACTCAATATCTGCACCTAGAAGTCTAACCGGTGATGAATAAATGAAGAGCAATAAGATATATTGGAATATATGGGGAAGCCTTTTGGTTTAAAACTAATTTGGCCTGAACTAGTTTTTCTTTCTTTCTTTCTTTTTTTTTTTTTGTGAGGAAGATCAGCCCTGAGCTAACATCCATGCTAATCCTCCTCTTTTTGCTGAGGAAAACCAGCTCTGAGCTAACATCTATTGCCAATCCTCCTCCTTTTTTTCCCCAAAGCCCCAGTAGATAGTTGTATGTCATAGCTGCACATCCTTCTAGTTGCTGTATGTGGGACGCCCCCTCAGCATGGCCGGAGAAGCAGTGCGTTGGTGCGCGCCCGGGATCCGAACCCAGGCCGCCAGTAGTGGAGCATGCGCTCTTAACCGCTAAGCCACGGGGCAGCCCCGAACTTGTTTTTCTAGAAAGCCCTGGCATGGCCTGTGGAGCATGCATTGTATGTCTTCTTTAGTTATAATATCCCAAAGCCAAGAATGATGACCTTAAAGATATGAATGTTGCCTCCCCCATATCAGCATTTCCTTATAGATAAGCACTTCTTCCCCAAAACTAAGGATTAATTACTGACCTACTCTGCTCATCTCATGACCACGGACCTGCTGTGGTAGCAAAGCATCTCGTGATTGAAGTAAAAGGGATATTCCTGTCCTATTTGATGTATGTTCCTTGTTCCAGTATGGCATAAAACCACTCTGTACACCCCGTTTCTTTGGCATTCTTCCTTCCTTGGTGAAGGTCATATTCTCCAAGGCTATATAGTCCGCAAAACTGGCTCATATAATAAACTCATCCCAATTTTGATTGACAGATTGACTACAGATTATTTGTGTCAACCTCGGCCGCCTAAACATCTCATCACCATGTCCAGACTCTTGATTTCTCTCCCCAAACCTCCTCCTTCTGCCGTTGCAGGGCCCCCACCACCCAATCACATGGGCCGGGAGCCCTGGAGGTGCTGTAGTGTGGCAGGAATGAGCAGACACTCTGGAGAGGGACAGCGGATTTGAATCCTGCTTCTGCCATTTATTAGCTGTGTGCTTTGGGCCAACAAATTTGGAAGACTGTGAGGGGTTGGGGGTAGAAGCTCTGCCCCAGATCTTACATAAATATGTTCCTGAGCTCTTAGATAGGCCTATTGTCCTGGAGCATCCCTTGCCTGAGTGCTTTTTGGGACCTTAGGAGAACTGCCATGGTCCCGGGTTGGACTAGACTCTCCCTGACAATCCGGGGGGGCTTCAGGAGCTGCCTTCAGGTGGATCTTAGAGGCGAAGGTTCGCAGAAGGTCAGAACTGCCCTGGCTGGCAGGGGCCCTCCAGCCTAACTCCTCCTTCTGCACATGGGGAAACTGAGTCTTAGAGAGGAAGCAACCTGTCCAAAAACACTCAGTGGCTTAGAAGCAGATCCAAGATTTGAGCTCAGACATCCTGACTCACAGCCAGCAGTTCCCCGAGAGCCTGTGTTTGTGTCATGCACAGTGATCTCCCCTCTGGCTGCACAGCCCACTGACCTCCACCCCAAGTAGGCCTCCAGGAGGGAGAGGGCCTTACCTGCCTGCAGCAGGCCTTGCCGTATCTCAGACAGGTGACAAAGTGCTCACAGTTCTTGCTCACAACACTGTACTCCACCTCCTCACCAATCTCCTCCTTTGCAGAACTGATGATCTCGTCCACAGGCCGTGGTCTGTACTGGTGGTCCAAGTAGTTGTTGACCCGATAGCGGCAGCCCCCAACTACGTCCTGCAGGCGCTCCTGTTTCACCACCGCCCTGCTGCTCAGAACGGAGAAGATGCTGGAAGAGCCAGCCCCAGGGTACTCACCTGGAATCAGAAACATTGTCGCCCAGAGATGCGGGGCAAGGCAAGGTAGGGAGAGAGAAGGGGCAGGACAAGAAACAAGGATGAAAGGAATCCACCATTGAGCTTTTGGTGTTTGTCCTTTCACAAATGTGATTGGAGGAGTCACAGATTTTTCTCTTTTGACTTAACAAGCTGTGAATATTTTTCAAGTCAATGACCGTCAGGATTGTCAATGGCTGACATTGCATTCCATGATATGAATGTACATCATCCATATGACCAATCTCCTGTTTTTGAGCATTTAGGGTGTTCCCAAATTTACCCATTATAAACAGTGATAGTAAATCATATTTGTTATTTATTTGTCTTTGTGTACTCTTGTGCATTTCAGAAAGAGATCAAATTTGTTTTAGTACCCACTGTGTTTCAGACACTATGCTGGGAAACTTTTCATATATTACCTAATTTAATCTCCTTTTTAATTTTCAAGGTAAATATTATCATCTCCATTTTACAACCAATATTGGACCCAGAGACATTTTCAGACTTCTCTGTGCTGTGGAAAGTCCTAGAACCTGAATGTGAAAGTGCCTGTCTCAAGCTCCAAAGGGCAGGCTCCTTCCATGGCACTGAGCTGAGACTTAAGGAATCCTCCACATAAGTGTCTTCTCTCCTAGGACTGGGCACCTCTTTGGGCACATGGAGAGGTCCACAGAAGAGCTATCTGCTGATGGAATCCAAATTCCATCTTGTAGTGAGTCCAGGTTTTATTTTTTAAGAGGGAGAGTCACTAATGAGCACGTTAATTAAGCATGCTTATTTTATGTTTCGAATCTAAAGGCTGATGTTTGCACTTAGAATCCATCTCCTTAAAAAAAACTATCCACACCCTGGAAGTTAGGCACAGAAAGGACCAAATGTCCTCACCGTCATGCTTTCTCTGACAAGCCCCCCTCAGTGTCATCTGGATGAAGTGGGCTTGTTTTACCATTTACTATCCATTCAGATATTTTTACAGCTCTGTCAATGTAGATGATAGCTTGTAGAAAACTGATAAGGTGCAAATATATTATTCTGATAGTGACGACAATGATTTTTGTCCAGTGAAGATGCAGACGCTTGGTGGAGAAGAGAACGTCAAACTTTATGGTACCATTGCTCTGTAGGACATGAACCATGGGAATCTAATTGGGCAGGCTTATTCCAGCATTTTTTTTCTTTCATCTACTTTACATACATCTGTTGTCTGCATTCTCCTTTTAACTGGCTTTGTCATCCTGCTGCTTCTGTTATCGATGAGTTAAATAAATTGTTCACATGTACTCACTGTGTACTTGTATGAGAATTTTTTTTTTTTGATGTGTAAACCTATGAGAGCTGCTTCTGTTAAGGACTATTAAGTAAATACTCTCAGACACCTCATCTAAATTGTACAAGTACAAAGAACACAGCACTGAGAAACATGCTTCTTTCTTTAAGCACAGACCTTCAGAAACTTGACTGGTTTAAGTCATATCAGAGTCTGCATATCAGTGTAAACTGCTCAGCTGGACAGATCTGAATGCTGAAGCAGCCCAGCTTCACTTGATGAGCCCACGAACCTCTTTCTCTGCTTCTATCAGGACCTAGGGGACCCCGTGTGATTACTCAACGGGACATGGATATACGGTCTGCTCAAGTGCTCTTCAGGGAAAATCCAACTCAGGTTTCCCTTGCTCTCCTCTTTCTTTCACTGTTCTGATTATGTTAACAAACATATTGAAAATTATATTTTCAATAATCCTTACTTGGAGGAACCAGATGGATCACATTACCACCTCCCACATAGATGGCCCAGTGCTCATAGCCAACGCGGAAAATCTCAATCAGGTCTCCAGGCTCCGGTTCCACAGAAAACTGCAATGGAAAAACCCAAGATGGTGTAGACAGACTTCTAGGCAACAGCAGAGACCCTGGCTGGGGAGCTGTGGCTCGGATGGGGGACCCCTTGCTGTCATTCATCACTTGGTGAGAGCCTGACTGGACAGAAGAGATTTGGGCCCCTATGGGGTCCTGGGCCTGCTGTCACTTTTAGAGGTTCCTCCACAACCGGAGGCTGGAAGCCTCGAAAAAATGACCTTGTGGAATGGGAGAGTGGGGGTCTGTCCAGTGTGTGTCTATTATGCATGTGTGTGTGTGCACGTGTGTGTTGTGTGGTGTGTATGCACACGTATATATGTGCATGTTATGCCTATATGTAGGTGTGTTATGTGTTTGTGTGTTGTGTATGAGGATGTGTGTCATGTGTGTGTTGTGTGTATGTGTGCATGTTCTGTATGTGTACTGTGTATGTGTGTGTTGTGTATGTGTGTTATGGCGTATGTGTGTTTTGTGTGCATGTGTGCATACTGAGGATGCAGACATGTATATGCAGGTGCATTGTGCAGGTGCTCCGGAGCGTGTTAACATGACAGCCTGCATGTGGCAGACCCAGGCCCAACCCCAGCAAAGTTGGGCAGGTGAGTCTTGAGCTTCTCTGTCGTTCCCAGACAGACTTTCAAGTCCTCATCACGTCTCCTGCCCCTGGTTGTGCATGACCGCACCAGGCTCCTCCTCCTCAGACTCTGTCCCCTTCAGCATTGGGACAACCATCCTTGGAGATGCCCACCTGAGAGACAGCAACTGACAGCATCCTAATAGGACCTGAGCCTTTGAGGGGACCCTTGTGGGGCCACCCCGCTTACAGCACTGAGGGGGCTGCTGCACTCACACAGCCGGCCTCTGCTGGCCTTTTTCTACAATAACTGCAACCCTCACACCACCCCAGGGAAGGAAGCATCACTCCATTGCTCAGGTGGGAAGTTGAGGACCAGAGAGATGACAGGATTTGTCTGAGAACAGTCAGCTGGGAAGCGGCTGAGCTGGGTCTTCTCTGCCACTTCTCTCCCTGGTCCTGACTCTCCCCTGCCTTCCTCCCCTTCCACACCTCCTTCCTGCTCCTCAGTGTCCTGGCCCAGGGCACCACAGCTTCATGATTTGAGAATTCTTCAGTTTTTCTCCCTCCCTGTGCCTGATCTCAGCCAATGACAAACCTCCTCCATCCCTCAGCCGTCCAGTCTGAGACCAGGGGTCAGCTTACCTTTGTCTACTTTCTCATGCCAAGCCAACAACCAATGCTGACCCTGCAAGTTTCTCCTGAATTCCCTTCTCGTCCACCTCCCGCCCACTGACTAGGTTCGGGGCAGGCCTGTCCCTGCTTCTGGGGCAATTCTGGGAGTTGCCCAGATTCTGGGAACTGGGAACTCTGGGAATTCTGGGAACTCCCCCACAGCCTCCCGACCGGCCCCCTCCTCCTGTCCCTGCCACTCCACATCACGTCTGCCCAAGACCCACTGTCGCCTTCCCAACGGGCACATCTGGCATTGACCTTCCTCGGGCCTCAGGGCACAGGGCACGCCCTTCGGGCAGCTCCCAGGTGCTCAGGACCCGTCCTTCCTCACCCCTCCTCACACTCCCTCTGCTCTCCCCGCCAGGCTGCCTGAATCACTTCCTTTCTCTCAGCACAGAGCCTGTGCTTGTCTCTGATGCTCTGGACATCAGGTATTTCTGTCCCCAAACACCTTCCCACACCCTCTCTTCCTCTTTCCCCCCATCAGACATCACTCCCCTGAGAAACTGCTCTGAAGGCCTCAGCCCGGCTCAGCTGCCACTGTCTGGGTCCCCAGGCCCCCGGGACCTCCACCTCTCCCTGCATGGATCATGGGCCTGTCTGCACCCCCTCTGGGCTTTGAGCTCTGTTCAGGCAGGATCCTGTATACTCATCCTTCCCACCCTGCATCTCCAGGATTTGGCAAAGGGCCTGGCTTGGGGGCCAAGGAAATATACATGGAAGAGGGTTGGAGGATAAGCAGGGCCCGTCCAGCTCCTCCTCCAACTCAGCCAGGGCAGGGCAGCCCAGAGACCATCCCCACTTTGGAATCACAAAGGAATTTTTCACTCTGAAAGTAACTAACTAAGGCAAGGCCTGGGCTCTGCACACAGCAGCTGGGGGCAGATGAAATGTGAGCTTGGGCCCTGCCCAGATAAGGAGATGGTTGCCCAGGCAATAGAGCCCTGATTTGGTTTTGGCAGCAATAAAGTTCCTCCCCAGAACTGAGTGATACACAGGGTGGACGACCCTCTGAAGTGTGATGTGTGTCTTTCCAGAATTGCCCCGTTTCCAATAATAGCCCAAGTCAGCTTGTTCCTTTTCAGCTACACACCACTGAGCTCCGCCTGCCCCTCCCTGGAAACTGTGTGAATCTGGACGTCAGGGCTGATGAGAGAGGAGGATTCAGACTCGGAATGCTGAAATTCAAATGCACTTAATAAGGCAGGACAAATGTCATGGAGGAAAGAGGAGAGAGAAAAGGCCGGAGCTGAGGAGGCACGGAACTCCAGCCAGCAGCTGAAGCAGATGAGGGGAGGCTCACTCATTTCCATTCTTGGAGTCCCACCCTGGCCACACTCCAGCTTCTTCCTGCAACTCGGGCAGCCACAGCTCCCAGACACCCACAGCTCTTCCCACAGAGGGGTCCCTGCATGCCCCAACCCACTGTGCCAGACACAGAGAGGAGGCTCACTCTGCCTGAAGACTGAAGACCTCATAGTTCTGCAGGAAAAGGGACCTTTAAACAACAAATACAATTTTCCATAAAAGTCTTCTAAAGCCTTTGCATGCTCGAGAGTTAACTGTGCCCAAGTCCAGGAACCCAGACTGAGGTCTTTATAGGAGCAGAGTGGCCCCCCCGCCCTGTGCTAGAACCACTGATAGAAATTTCCAGGAGACTTACCTGAGCCATGGTGTACTGGGGTTCTACTGTTCACGGACCAGCTTTTATATCAAAGTTTAGAATTTCACTTTCACTTTCCTTCTGACACTGTTTGAAAACTACTCAATACTAAACATTTTTAAAAGAGAGACTAAATATTTTCACTAAACAGAAAGGCCAATGGTTACTTACCTCAAAACGTGGAATCATTGGTGCTTTAGAGCCACCTGCAAGCAGTCAGGGTAGGAGGGAAGGTTGATAAACTGCTCCTGCTTGAGAAACCCCAGGTCTCTTCCAAAAAAAGCCCTGGGCAAGTGTTCTTACTCTGAGAAGGGGCAGCATTTAGAGGCACAGAGGTGTCAACCCCCAGTGCACCCCATAGGCCATTGTCTTGTAACGACTCTAGGAAATATTGGGTCAGAAGCCATGGGGCAGGTCATACAGGGTGATGTATTCCAGGGGAAAAGCATTCAGATGGTGGGTGCCTTGGACCAGGTGGGGCCCAGGAGCTCATTGCCCCCATAGGATGCGTTTGGCTGCGAGAAGCAGAAGAGGGTTACAACAGCCTGGACGTTCACTGTCTCTGGAACAGGAAGCCAGGAGGTGGGTGACTCTGCTTCAGTTCAGCAGCTCACAAGACCACTGAAGACCCAGGCTTTTCCATCATGCTGGTCCTGTGTCTGCAGTGACATCCTGCGTGGTCAACTATGGCTGCAGCAGCCTCAAGTGGCACATTTTCACCTGGCAATGTCCAAAAGCAGTAAAGGAAGGTGTTTCTCACCCTTTGTCTCTTTTTTTCTGGGGGTAAAGTCTTTTCCATAGTCCCCTGGCTGTCTCACTCCCATCTTTCACTGTCCAAATTTGGGTCACATTTCTACTCCAAAACCAATTGTGGGCAAAGAGGAAGGGGCTCCCTGGCAGGCTCAGATCACTCACAGTGCGTCAGCTGGATCTGTGGAGGGGATCCTACTGCCCAGTGAACAGCAGGGCTCTGTGAGCCTGGGAGAAGCTGAGTGACAGTGGTGTGTGTATGGGGTGGGGGAGAGAGACGGCTGTTAACTAGGAAACCAGCACATAAGATGCACTCACCTACTTCCCATCCACCATAACAAACAGCTTTATTATAAGGCAACAAAGAGGCTGAAACCAGTTCTCAAACACTCAGACTGCGTCTCTATATGACCTAGCAGGAAAAATGGGAGTGATTGACTCACTGGAGATATGAAGACAAAGCAGCACACTTTCGGATGTGGGCAGAGCCCCCATCAGAACGAGCTCATGCCCCCGAGGACTCAGGAAGGGCACAGACTCTCCCAACGTGAGCCCCTGGCCCCAGGTTACCTTTACCAGACAGAGCTCCAGACACAGTGGTCCAATGTCCATTGGCTCCTCTGGCCTTGGCCTCAGGCCTGGTACCACCCATTCTGTTTCCAAGTGACCTTTATTTGTAAAAAGACCATGAGAGTCACTGGCTGTTCACCTCCCGGCATTAGGGTCATGTTCAAAATGGAAAAAGCAAAAAAAAGTCAGCTGCCAGGCCTTGTCTCTTTCAAGTAGTGTCACTTTGGGCAGTTGCCTGCCCTCTCCTCATCTCAGTTACCTCCTCTTTAAGAGTGAGGGCTCCATCTTTGTCAGCCAAGAGGCTGTGAGTCTGGACTTGGACCTGTGGACCTGGAGCTACAGAAGGGTGGTGACTCTGGTCATCGTTGGCCCAGCTGGAGCCACCTCTGTCACTGGACTTCAGTTACTGAGGCCTGTCTTCAGGTTAAAGCTGTGAGGTGGATTCTGCAGCTGTGGTCTGTGCCTCTCCCTTCAGGCGCTCCTCTCCTGCTTCCGTGTCTGGGATGTGACACTTGCCACGCCCTTCCTGCCTTCTTTCCTCCTCGGCTGCTCTGCTGTCAGGGTTGATCGGCTCCTGAGCAATTTGTGGCATTGATCCACCCTGCAAAATGTGCAGCTAGCTCTGGGATTTATTCCACATCTTTGCCCACGGACATTTCTAGGGTCTTCCCTCATGCTAGCCAGTAACACATCAGAACACATCCTCCCATGTCAACCAGAAGAGCAGGGAGGACAAGGCATCTGAGGGAAGAGGTAGTGCCCATCATCAAGGTTGCACTGCTCCCTAGGTGAGCAAGTGACAGGGGCTGTCGGGGGTCTAACTCTGAGATGACTACCTCGTGCAATACCCAACATATGCTGGGACCTCACCTTGGACCTTTAATCAACAGGTATAGAGTGAGTGCCTACTGTGTGTCAAGCACTGTCATAGGCAGTCGGAGATCCATTGGTGAACAAGACTGATAAGAAACGGTGCCATAGTGGATCTTACCTCCTTGCTGAGTAGACCAACAAAAATTTAGTAAGATAGATATTGTGTGAGATGGCCACAGTCTGAAAAAATGGAGAAGGGAATGGGGGTGGTAGCGATGGGGAGGTGCGATTTCAGATAGTGTGGCTGGGGATGGCCTCACTGAGCAGGTGACTTTTGAGTAATTAACACAAGAAGGTGGGGAGTGAGCCCTTCACGTAGATGGAGAAAAGACTGTCTAAGGCAGGGAAGCAGCCATTGCAAAGGCCCTGAGGCTGCATATGTCTGCCAGGGTATCTGGAGCCAGGGAGCACGTCATAGGAGTTGATAGCCGAGAGGTAACAAGAACCTGATGTACAGGGACTGCAGGCTCCTTTCAGGTTGTTGATTTTTACTCTGAATTAGACAGGAGCCACTGGAGGGTTGGAGCACAGCAGTGAGGTGCTCTGACTCGTGTAGTTTTCATAGACTGTGTCTGGTTCCTGTGTTTAGAATAGCCTGTGCAGTCAAGGGTGGAAGGCAGATGAGCAGTTTGCAGTCTTCCAGGCAACAGAGCAGCAAGAAGTGATTCGATTCTTGATATATTTTGAAGATAGGGTATATTAGTTTGCTAGGGCTGCTGTAACAAATACTATTGACTTAAAAAGAGAATTTTATTTTCTCGTGATTCTGCAGGCTAGCAATCCAAGATCAAGGTGTCAGCAGGGTTGGGTTCTTCTGAGGCCTCTCTCCTTGGCTTGTAGATGGCCGCCTTCCCCCTGTGTCTTCACATGGTTGGCCATCTGTGCATGTCTGTGTCCTAATCTCTTCTTCCTGTAAGGACACCAGGTGGATTAGGACCCACCCAATTGACCTTATTTTAACTTAATTACCTCTTGGAGACACTATCTCCAAATACAGTCACATTCTGAGGCACTAGGGGTTAGGACTTCCACATATAAATTTGTGGAGAATACAATTCAACCTATAACACTTACTTTTTGGCATAGCAATAATCCACGTTTGTCTTGTGTTTTCCCTGTCCCTACCCTGGAATTAGTCATTTGTCCAAGGAGCCTGGTTCCTTTCAATGGATAGCGGTATGTAGAAAGTAAAATCAGAACATTTAAGGAACATCTGATTTAGTTCTGTATCTTGGAGCCAAAAATATTCTTATGGGGACATTGAGCCTTTCTCTCTAAAGCAGTGTCACACACCCCACCGACAGGATTTTCCTCTCGGGATGCAGGGTCCCTCCAATCTGCACCCCTTTCCCTACTGCCCAACAGATACTTGGATTTGCAGTTCCCTGATGGAGAGAGGAAGAGAGGCTCCTTCTGGGGGTGGTTGTGGGAGACAGCATGAAGGTCCCATTAATTTGTGTCTATCTGGGTGTCAACTCCCAGGAATTGGTGTCCTGGGGCTGGAGAGGGAATCTGAGAAGGGAATCCTTGTGTCACATGGCCATGGACACAATGGGCAGGAGGAACACGGTCAGGACCTCAGGGTCAGGCTGAAAAGAGGGAAGGGGAAACAGCTAACTCCAAGTTCTCCTGGGTTGTGCCTGGTGCTTTGACACACTGAATGTGCTTGTTCATGAGGCACATGTGTCCAGATGCACAAACACAGAAAACAATTTGCACATGTACTCAGTCTACAGAGCACACACAATATTCTCACGTGCACACACACACACACACAGCTGGACAAACTCGCCTCTTTCACATCTCTCAGCAGGCATTTCCCTGGGCTCCAGTCCCTGGCACCCCCACAAAGGGCAGCACCCCCATGAGTCACAGCAAGGCTGGGGCACCCTATGCGTGACAGGAGCTCGCACTTGGCTGGATCCACCCAGGAATACCAGAGCCTGGTGGGGAAGATGAGGCTTAGTCTACACACCTTCCTCTCTCTTCATCTCCTGGGTTGTCTATGGCAGACAGCCCCAGAGCCTGGACACGTGATTGCAATTTTGACCCCAGCTGTGATCACTGGAGGACAGTCATTGGTCCATGTGGCTTCTCCAGGTAGGGACACAGTTTTCTGTTTAAACATCAGCCTTGAGTTTAGAAGTAGTAACCTTTGGTAAACTAAGGTCAGTAATTGCTCTGATGAGCCCATTAGCTGGTCCTTGAGGAAATAAAATCCTAGAGACCTTTCTTCACTGTCGAATGAAACTTATTCTGCATCAATAGAGTTGTATTTTTTCGTAAACACCCTCATGTGTCTCAAAAGTGTCAGGTGACAGGATGTAAGAGAAATGTCAGGAGCAGAACCTGTTTGTAAATGACCCTCACTGTGTTGGCCTGTCCGAAGAGAGGGCTGGGCCTTCAGAGAGTGTGAGCCTGGTTCCAAATCCTGGCTGCACAACAGCTCAGCAGAGACCTTGAATACGCTGCTTAATCTCTTTGAGGCTCAATGGAGAGTTTGATAAAATGGGGATAATAATACTTACCCTGTGAGGTGATGGAGGTGATTAAGTGAGATAATATATCAAAAAGCAACCAGCATAAGTGCCTGGCAGAAAGGAAATAATCAGAATGTGGTGTTCTCTTTGCCTATCAGACAAAGGTATAAAGGTACTCAAAACATCATTCTAATAATAATGAAAATTTGGAGACAACCTAAATGCTCAAATTGCCAATTGGTCAAATAAGTTCTAGCTCATCCAGGTGGGACTGACAAGGAGCTCGGTGACACTCTCTACAGTGGCTGCACACGTCTGTACAGGTAGATGTGCATATCCCCTCAGAAGCACATGGACACAGTCACTCAAAACACA